TGCTAAGAATAACAGATGCAACGAGACCTGTTGATGGAGAAGCCGTTACGCAGCTGTGATGTCATCACCTTATCCACCAGCTGGAGAACCGATCCCACTGCCAGACAGGCAGAGGTGAAAAATTCCTGGAGGAATTAAAAAATTCCACACAATTAAAGACATGTTGTTGGGCATCCATTAACAAATAAAATAAATTCTAATTATTATGTTTTATTGTTTTGTATCATAAAAAATAAAAAAAACAATAAGCCAAAAGAGATTTTGATTCATGATCAAGTCCTTTATAGGCAATAGGGTTGCAAAACGGTGGAACATTTCCAGTAAATTTCGGAAACATTCCAGAAACTTTGGAAAGTTTCCAGGATAATTTTTTTGGACTATTCCAGGGATTTTTGGAAAGTTTCCGGAAATGTTCCACCGCTTTGCAACCCTAATAGGCAATAATGCTCAATATAGTCAATATTATCATGCTGACTTTAAGAAACATCAGGGAATGTACTGGATTAAGATGAACACTGAAACATCGGGAATGGAAGAATAAGCACAGGACTGGTGAAGACTTGTGATTAGGTGACTTACAGGGTGCAGGAAGACAGAGTCATATTTATCAGCCAGAGTCTTTAGCTCCTCCTCTGACATTTTCTGAGTGGATTTCATCAGCTCTGCATACTCCTTCCTATTGTACACGACACATTCCCCCGTGTGGCGTAAGATAATCATAAACCAACTCGATGAACGGTGTCAATCTTTATTCAGTCTTGCATATAAACTTACGTATGAACGAGTAAAAGCTCATCTTCTGACACAGCTCTGGCCTTAAACACAAAACTAATGCAATTAAAACTCAGGTACAAACCTGTTATCATCATCACTACAAGAGTATCTCTACCTCTACTCGTACGCAGCGTCCCAGCAGACCTTCCGTCTCCAGCATCTCCATCACAGTGCTCACTCTCGCTGGACACTCTGGGTGACTGAAAACAAAGACATCCAACCCACTGTTACAGAATAACCAATACTAATTTAAAACGAGGTTAAGTATCAAGAATAAGTGCAACTTTTTGGGATTAAATCACTAAAAATACTATTTCTATTTTAAGGCATCTTTAAACGAATGCTCAATTCAAGTTGATACAAACTTAATGCATATGACTAGAACGTTCTATCTTTGAATGCTTCATTAGCATCTACTGGAGAGTCTTAAAGGGTTCCCAAATTACTTTTTTTGTTAAAGGGATAGTTCACCCAAAAATGAATTTGTGTTCCGAAGACGAACAAACGTCTTA